AAAAAGTCACAAAAATCTAAAACTCCAAATTAACTGAAAATGTGCAAATCTATATTAATTGAAAAAGAAAAATTAAATAAAAAATGGCACAGCCGTGGTTCTAGTATTAAACCGAGATTAAAATTAAACTACATTGATAAAAACGGATATTAGATTCTCCTAAAACTTAAAACTTTCTTATTATTTTTTTACGTTGATAAATACATGAAATTTTTTAAGTATAAACCCTGACAAAAATAATAAAGCATTGCCAACCGTTCAATGGCGATTTTTTAAGTTTATATACTTTTATAAGAACGCTTACATAACACCATTGGATTTTAAACATTTCAGAATGCTTATAAAATACAATATACATCGTTTCATGAAAGTTCTATAATGCTAAAGCAACGCTTTTCATAGGACGCTGAGTAAACGCTGATGCAGAGAGTTCACTGTCAAACTTGGAGATGCCCAGAAAAATGCTTTTCTTAATTCCGTTTTTCAAACGTTGTAATTTCCGCTTTACAAACACTCTACTGAGCATTTCTACTTTCAACTAACTCCTGCAAACATTCATTTAAGCGTCCAAAAAACATTCATGAAACCTCTTATTTTTGTCAGGAAAAGTATTAATTAATATTAGTTAGATATAAATCAATTACATTGTCTAAATTAATATTAAATATAATATACTAAATATTACTACTAAATTATCAAAATTTAAAGAAATATTTTTTATAATACTTTAGTTCATTAATGCTTTCTTTTATATCATCCAGAGCCCTATGATTTACTCTCTTTTTTGACGCCGAATTATATACATTCGGATTCCACCTTCTAAAAATTATGATGATTTATTCATAGTATCATATTTTTCTGTTAAAATCGCTTTAAATCTCAATTGCAAGACAAATTCCTATATTAATCGTTTACATTGCATAAGAAAAAAATATCAGCATCTCTATTTATTTATATAAAAATAGAAAAAACTTACCTAGCAATTTCCTTAATTGTACTAACATCAATAATCCTGTAGTGCAAGTAATTATTAACTAATGGCATATTCTTATATAGAAAAAAACGATCCATGTACACCGAACTTCCAGCCAATGGGCATGAACGTTCATGAATATGCTTTTTTAAAAAGTCAAGTACTGTCTTCTCAGCCTCTTCTAATGATATAGTACTTGAGCGAGAGTTTTCAACTAATCCCGTCTGAAATATATTGTATAATAATTAAATTATAGAGCTTAAAATATATCAATTTGTAAATGCTAAAAGTTCAAAAATATTAACATCATCCATATAAATTAAAAGTTTACCTTTGTGTGAGTTTCTTTACACCAGTCATTCATATTTTCTAATATTGCGTCTGACTGATGTATTACAATATTTAATTCCTCGCTAACAATATTTAATTTCTTATCTGTTACAACACAGGCAATTTCTAATATATGATCTTTATCTACATCAAGTCCAGTCATCTATAAAAATATCATACAATTGATTTATGTTTCTAAATTAATTTTTGATTATAATTATATTATGTGTATAGATATTATTTTTAACGTTTCAATACCTCCATATCAATCCAAACAATATAGTTAGTATTCTTAGGCGCCATTTTATTATGAATAATATATCTGACAATCTGTAAACATAAATAAGAAAAAAATAAAAGAATTAAAAATTAGTTATTAAAAGAAATGTCAAAAAAGAGATTAGCATGCATCTGTTATCACTGAATTGAATTTCATATAAGTAAAATCAAACACATTTTATTATTAATTTTTATGTCACATACATATGTCAAAGAGATACTTTTACACACTTCGTGTTACATAAATTTATATAATAATTATTATATAAGTATTAATAAAATTATAAAAAATTGATAAAATGACATTTCCGAAAATGGGCATTCAGATAATAATTTTAGAGATAACCTCCAAAATACATAATAAACTTCAAACACGTGTTTTTCTAGAAACGTAAAAATATTATACAAACTGACGTTATAAAATCGATGGAATATAACAATACGTTTATAAAGCAGACGTTAATGATGGCTATCTATTTTTGGTGAAAATAATTCAACAAAATATTCAAATTGACACTACAAAACCTTGGCCTATCCTACCTTCGTAACTCATGTGACATGCGTTTTTACATACTTGACATGCGTCTTTCACTATAGACTCTACAGAGAATAATTGAGAGTTTTTAATTCAATATTCGTTTAAATCAATATCAGTTGTTTGCATTTATAACATATATTGCGATTCACCGATTTTTGTTTTTCAGAACAAGAATCAATTGAATTGTAATAAGTTTATTCATATTTTATATAAATAAATGGAAAAATACAATTTTAAATATTATATAAAGATTAAAATAGCGCCCCAGCAAATGAAAATGGATTGAAATAAATTGAAATGGATTCAGATTTTCAGAAATATTGATTCACGAATGTTAAAATGAATGCTTTTCAATCCTGAATGCATTTTTATTGCATTCAATTGAATGTAATTGCATTCAATTGAATCTAATTGAATCCAATTGAATCCAATTAAATCCAAAAAAAGTATTCGCTATTTAAAATATGTATTTGGATAGAAAAAAATTTCAATTCATTTTAATCTATTTTCGTTTGCTGGGGTAACATTATAAGCATTTGCCTTATTTTTTATCAAAATTTAATCAACTTATATTAATTAATCGATGATAACTTTATCGCAAAACTTACATTAATAAATTATATAAAAATTATAGTTGAAATGCATTGTCAATAGGTATGCTTGATGTTTAGATAAGGCAAATAAAACAAGTAACAACTCTTGAGAATGTCAAATATAAAAACAAAGAAGGGTTAATTTTAGAGTTTATTCGCAGTACTTTGTGCGAGAATAAAAATTGTTTATTATCAATTCGAACAAATATAATCAATGACGAATAATTTATGTATAATCAATTATAACTACGTTTAAATAAGGTCCTAAATAAATAGCGCAAAGTGAAGTCTAAGGCGCGGTAACAAGTACATCAATTTGTAAAAAAAATAGTCAAGTTAAATTGTTCATGAAATTAGGAAGAGAAAACAAATTTCTTTCTGTAGAAAATTAAATATGACCGATGTGTTTATTGTTTTTTATTTTGACATTACGAAAAATTCTTTTCTAAGTATAGCGTTTCAATGTCTATAATATTATATTAATGAATAAAGTTGTTTTAGGAAAATATTTTAAATTCATTCAAACTAGAGTTGTTCTCATTTTTTATTTACTTCAAACTTTTTATTATTTCAGATCAAGGGTTTGTTCCAATACAGTCGAACCAGTTTTAAACTATCAGAAAACTACGCATTATCTCAATTTGATTATACTGTGCAATAACATTTTATAATGCACAGATTTTTGACATTCACAAATTGGTTTGAAAACATGTAGGGACAAAGCCCTAAAATTTTCAGATTTGTCCTTTATTTTATTTAAGAAAATATGATCACCGTATTCATATCTAAACAAGAGATTAGTTTATCCAACCAAATGGGATTTTCTGCAGTATATTTTTTAATGAATGAAATAAATTATCGTATATGAGTAAAAAAAATTCAGTGGAATTATCTGTTTTTATCATCGGAGATTCTTAAATATGATTCTGATCGATCTATGCGGCGAAACATAAAATTTTATCAAAGCCTTAAACGGTTTAGCTGGATCTTAATGTTTGTATGATTTTTGTGTGAATTTATATACTACGTATGTAGCCGTTTAAGGCTTTGATTTCTATAGTTTGTGTTATCACAACATATATACGGTCCTATAATATATTATATTATAAAATTTTACATTCGTGAGTATTGATTTTTTAATATTCATTTCAGATGGCAATATTCAATTTTCTAAAAAACGATCTGCTGATTGAAAAGACATCAAAATACATACGTAATACTTTTTTTTAGATTTTATAAAATCTAGAAGGTGCAGTTCCCAAAAAAATTCGTATATTTGTAATAAGTTCTTTTAATTCAATAAATCAACAGTCTGCAGTTAAGAACGAATTTTTAAACAATTTTTTTAAAATTGAACGTTAATTTCAGAATAAATTATGAAATAAAATAAAATCTTAAAAATGTTGAAATAGAATAGAGATATAAAGAAAAGAAAAAAAATTGTTAGATAAGGCCACTTTATGGGTTTATTCGGCATATTTTCAAGAATTTTTTTTCAGTAGTAAAATGCAATTAATTTAATCAAACTTTTTACACTTTATTTGTCACTTATTCAAGATTGTATAAAAATTTTTTTAAACGATTTCACGCATGCGCGGCTTCAAAATGGCGGCTGAAGTGAAGGTGGAAAAAAAAGTTTGGACCCTGAAATCTCCAGTTCTAATCGTCTGAAACAAAAAATCCAAAAAGATTCTTAAAATATATGTTAGTGGCTATATCCAGTAGTAGAATGAAACGATTTGGGCATTAAAAAAAAATGGCGGACTTTAGAATTTTTTCACCCCTTTTTTACCCCTAAAATCGTTTAAAAAAGGGGTTAAAAGTAAACGAAAAATTCTAATTCCACTAGGGGCTAAAACTACATAAATTCTGAACAACCTCTGAAAATTTCAGCCCGATCGGTTAAATAGTTCTCCCAAAATCGTGGTCCAAAGGTCGAAAAACGTAGTTTCGAGAAAAACGCGTTTAAAGTTTCGTGTTGACAATTGTTAGTAAAATTATAAAAAAAAACCTTCTTACGCTCGGTCGATAATCGATTTCTAACTATTTGTACACTAATTCTACATACTTAAGGTACCCGAAAATGATGCTTTTGGGAAATCGAAAATTTTGAAAAATAAACCCATAAAGTGGCCATAATGTAGTTTTTGTACATGTAAAGCGATCCAATAACGGCGCACCAATCACGTAACGCCGTCACTGATCTGTCGTCACGCCATTGGACGCACGTAGTTATCGTGGTGCAGTATAAATAGCGGAGGTGGGTCACTTAAAGATACAACGAGTCGAGATATCGTACGTCTCACATTGTGGAAAATCGTAAACTTCAACCGTAAACATGTCTGGTTGTGGAAAAGGTGATAAAGTTAAGAGAAGGAAATCCCGTTACAGTCGTGTTAGACCACGCAGAGGTTCCGAAATGTGGTTCATTGGACTTATCCTTAAGTATCTGCGAAGAGGAAATTACGCCGAGAATGTCAGAGGTGATGCTTCGGCTTATCTAGCTGGCGTGTTGGATTATCTTGCTGCTGAAATATTGGATTTGGCGGGAGTTGACGCCATCCTCGAAAAGAAGACCAGAATCTGTCCTAGGCATCTACGAAGTTGCATTCGCATTGACACTGAATTGACCAGACTAATCTCTAGAGTTTTATTGCCAAAGGAAATAGAAATCGAGAAAAAAGCTTAACTGCAGAAACTACAAACGGAGTTTTTAAGGCTATCAATTTTTTCATGTACAACGAATATCTTGTTTTTACAATTCTATTATTACCTATATCTATTATCTATACCTTTATTGAGCTAGTTAATATAAACTATTATATTAAAAGTATTCATGTCCTGTAATTTTTTCTTGACATTTTATATAATTACTACTATAAACAAATAAATCATATAAAAATACACGTAATTTCCAAATGTATAAAGTGTATAATCATTCCAAAGTGAATATATATATTATTTAAATCTTAAAATTTAGTAGGTGTTGGAAAATATTCAAACATATTGTAAACTATGGGACGGTGGAATTAATGGGAAACCTTGAAATACCGCACGAACCTTTTTTACCTTCCGTATGTTAGACATATGAGTGGGGATGACAGTCCCCATTTTTCAATAGAATCCCAAATTTCAGGCTTATTGAGAAGTGAAGTGAAAGCAACCTTATTGTTACATTGAGAATCCCAAACTGGTCGTTATTATGAGACCACGACATTTTGAGATTATAATGTAATCAGCTTTTTCTTTTTATTTATATTTATTTACATGGCATAGAAATACATCATGTTGTAAAAAAAATAGATAAAAAATGTATCTAATAAATCTTGCTTTATTATAAAGGGAATATTCTCGGATATTACGTACATGTTTAAAAAACATCGGAAAAATAACTAAAAATATAAGTATTTATATAAAACTTATATATAAATATATTTTTATCATTTTACATTTTGAAAGTGTATAATAACATTATATTAATATTCTACATTACTATCTTAGTGTTTAAATATGTACTTTTTGAATTTAAAGCTTATTTTTAACGAAATGTAACGCGTTTCATAATTATAATTGCAATTACGAAGTTATAAAATTTTATTTGATAAAACATTTTATTTAAAATGATAATTAATTAAAAGATTGTTATTAAAAGATTAAAAGATCAAGGTTCACATTGCTACAAATTTTATATAAAACTATATATGATTTCCAAGATTTTAAGATGAAATTTTAAGATAAAAGTGTGATTATAATGTTAATTATCGTAGATTTGATCAATTTGTAGAAATTGATCTGTTTTATTTATTTTAAAATTAACATAATATATGTATATATAATGTCAGATGTATAATTGATTGTTATTTGATTAGGCTATTTTGCTTCTTTTTTTGAGTCAGTAATTCAGTAGAAGAAAATTGCAGTATCCAGAAAAAAATTCATAACATATCAAGTACCAACTTATACTGGCAAAGATCGTTTGGAATAATGGGGAAAGTCCACGGCGTATGGTGATTGACCACCTTCGCTGACCCAGGCCGCTTGATTTTCACCCTTCTGAATAAGTTCTAACATCGCAAGTGCCACATTGTCGGTTGTTTGTTGCGGATACTTTTTTAAGTCAATGTCATTGGTCACAGCGTTGATGGAGTCACAGACTTTATCATTGATGTTTGTAATAAGCGTTGTTATTGTAACGCCCGGACACATGATAACCACTCGCACTCCAGTCTTGTCATACATGCCTGCCAGAGATTGGCTAAATCCCAAAACAGCAAATTTCGAAGCGGTATATATTGGCAAGGAATGAGCTGGATGTAATCCAAGTATGGATGCAATGTTCACGATTACACCGCCCTTACCACCTTTATGCTTTCCCATATAATCGAAGGCCAACATAGAGCCGCGAATTAATGCCTTGACATTGAGATCGATCGTTTTCTCCCAATAGTTATCGTTCAACATACCAGCGTTGTTAATAAGAATATCAAGTCCTTCGAATGTGTCGACGATCTTCTTGAACGTCTTCTCTAAATCATCAGTCTTTGTTACATCGCAGGCAACGAAAATGGCACGGCCCTTCCCAAATTCATTTTCCAAAGTAGCTACCGCATTCTGGCCGTTTGATGTTGGCAGATCGACCACGGCGACACTTCTTGCACTATTACGTAACAGTATTTCGGCGTACTTGTAGCCTAATCCGCTAGCTGCTCCAGTGATTATTACAGTTTTATTCTTTACGTCGTACATTATTCTGATTTCTTGAAACCTTCTGTGAGATGTGCTTTCTGCGAAATGTGAATCTTTAATGAACCATAGTTGATACTGTCTCTTTAAATAAAGCTCATGCTATTTAATATTCTTTTTTTATCAATTTTATCAATAATTCAACAACTGCAGACTTTGTGCAGGGAAATTATTCGTTTCAATATCATTTCTTATTTTAAAAAAATACAATTTATCTTAATGATAAAGGAAGCAGTTTCAGCTATAATTTTGAAATTCAAATGTACGTATATATTACAAGTAAATAACAATTAATCTGGCAATTAATCTGGCAATGTTGGACACAGTTAATTTTTTTATTGATTTCTGACCGATAAATTAAAATCTGTAAAAAACTAATAAAATACAATCTTACATAATAGTAAAAACTTGTTATTAAATCTTTCACAAATATGTAAGAATTTTTTCAGATTTTTATACAGTCTGGAACAAAGATCTATACTGCGAAGTTCGAAGACTTAGATTGCGATGAAAATTTTATATAATAGACAGAAAATTTCAGTGTAAGTATCCCTATTAACCTAGGCCCCCATCATCGCAAATCGAATTCGAAACTGATAAAAAGTTTAGTACCCTTTATTTGCTATTTTTTCTTTAATAAAGTCAAATTTTTTTGCTCAAACTGTTTAGTAAGAAATCGCGTTAAAAATGGGGGAGAAGGCAGCTTTCCATAAGCTCCCCATAAGATGTCTCAAACTGAAAAAAAAATAATATCACAAAACTAAGTATACGTAAAAAATATAGAGTTTATCCCGCTTAATCTTCAAAGAATTATTTGCTCATATGTATTTGATAGTAAAATAATCGACAGGCAATGTACTATCGAAGTGTAGCAAAATCTGTTATATGAGTAAATAATTCTTTGAAGATAGAAAGAAAACTTAAGCGTTGAAGCGGCTGAGATAAATTATTTATTTTTCACGTATTGCAGTTAGCAATCAAATAGAATTTTATTACATTATGATAGTATATTATCTATAAGAATTATTTTATGTACCTATTTTTTATTATTTTATTATTTTATGTATACATGTGCGAGCAACAAACATGTAAGTATCTGTCAGATACATATACGTAATATGCAGTGCTAAATACGTTATGTATAATGCATTTTTTTTTAAATGTTGCATTTTACAAATGTTTTTGCTTTATTTGGGAGCAATTAAAAAGCAAAAAAATTTGGTGTACTTGATTTTGTGATATTTATATTTTTTTTAGTATAGGAGAGTAGCTTAATGATAAGTTGCTCTCTCTCCCTTTCTCCCCTCTTCTCCTACCCGCTTTAAATTAGCAATTTTATGCTAAACAATTTGAGCAGAACATTTCGGACTTTAGCAGAAAATTAGCAAATAAGGAATATTAAATTTTTAACTGAAGAAAAATGTATCCTAAATCTTATGATCTTGTATTGCTGTAAATTTAAGCCTGTCTAATAAATTTAAATGAATGTACTCTACTTTTGTTCAAATTTGACATAAATGTAAATGTAGAAAAAATATTTTACTTCCTATTTTTGTTCATTAATTCTAAGGGTAGTTTGTCTCTTTAATCTTCATCGTTTTATTATCTGTAAATAAAATAATATATATACAAAAGATAAAATATTTAATACAAAAGATAGAAATTATTATGGATCGCTAATTACAAATATAATATCAGATTTGCTTAAATAAAAAAATATTTAAACAAATAAAAAGTTTTACGAAGGGATGCTATGTTTAAAAAGTTATTTATTTGAATGACTCTTATAATACACGTACTTATATTGCTATATGTACTGTATCTTTTTTTAAATTTTTTCTCTCATTAATGTGTTTATTTTATATGAAATTACCTCTAATTTATCCTACTTTTATCTCTATAAATTATATATGATGTCATGTGACGTTATATATATATATGATGACTCGTACACACATACTACATTGAAAAAAAAAAATTTGTTCAACTAACTAAACACATTTAGTTTGCAGATTTGATTCAACAAATTTTCTTTAAGTGAATTCAAGTCTTAAAAAATTGTTCAATGTTAAGTAGACTACGGTTAAATTTAATTAAATAACTAAATGTATTTAGTCAGTTGAACAAATTTTTTTCAGTGTAGACATATTGTACATATATGAATTATTAGTTATAGAGTTTTATGAGGGAACTTATGATTTTGGATTTAAATATCTCTTAGACGCTGCCTAAAAATTAAGATTTTAAGATTAAATTTTAAGACAGAAAGTGAGAACATTGTTACATTAACATTAAGTATTATTGTATTAATTATCATAAATATATGATGAATTCAATCACAATGTTTCAATCATTGTTTACTTAAAAATGGACATAATTTTATAATTGATTTGATCAACTTCCGTGTAAATTGATCAAAACAACATAAAATAAGTTATCAAATATTAATTTATACAGGCAAAGATCGCTTAGAATAATTGAGAAAATCCACAGCGTATGGCAGAGAGTTGACCACATTCGCTGACTTAAATCGCTCCATTTTTACCCTTCTGAATGAGATCTAAGATCGCAAATGACACATTGTCTACTATTTGTTTCCGATATTTATCCAAATTAGCAACATCACTCCCTAACACAGAGCGAACGGAGTTACAGATCTTATCACTGATGCTTATGACGGTGTTGCTGTAGCACCTGGACACATAATAACCATTCGCACTCCAGTCTTGTCATACATACTTGCCAGAGACTGGCTGAATTCTAGAAAGACGTATTTCGAAGCACAATATTGGAACAAAATAAGTTGGTATCAATCCAGCAATAGATGCAATGTTTATATAATTTATAATTACACTTTCTTTACCACCTTTGTGCTTTCCCATATAGTCAAGTGCCAACATATATAGAGCCACGAATTAGTACCTTAACATTAAGACCGATCGTTTTCTTCCAATAGTTATCTATAATAGTTAAATATATCGGCGTTGATAAGATTATCAAGTTCTTTGAATGCGTCGATAATTTTCCTGAATGTTTTCTCTAAATCGTCAGCCTTTCACGTCCCACGTAACGAAGATAGCATGACCTTTTCCAAATTTGTTCTCTAAAGTAATCATCGCATTCTGACCATTCGATGTTGACAGGTCGACCACAGCAATACTCTTTGCACAGCAATACCCATTGCGAAACAGTATTTCGGCATACTTATAGCCTTATCCTCCAGCTGCTCCAGTGATAATTATAGTTTTATTCTGTACACTATACATTACTGACTTCTTGAAGCCTTGGATAAAACATGAAATATTTTAGCAAGATGTGAGATTCTTTAGCAAATTGTAATGAATGTCTATGTAGAGCGTTCTTAATTTAATAGTTCTTTTTATCTTATCTTCTTGTTTAATATCGTTATATTAATAATACATCAGTAGACTTAATTGATGCAAAATGATAAGTTTTTTATTCATTTATACATGTTTCATTACTTCAATGATATAAAGGAAGATGTTAAGTTTTGGTTGTATTTTGGACAAAAGTTCCGAGATGTACAATAAATTATATATCATATTAGGACTACTTAAGCGGAGTCGAGTAGTGTATCGTTAATCTTATCGGGAAATATCGGAAAAAGAAATGTTATCCTCAGCAATAAATTTAATATTATTACACATTTATTGATAAAAAATTATTAAGGAAGACATTTCCAGAATTAATATTATATTGTTGCAATATGATAACTTGGTGGAAATTTTCAAGCAATTAACAAGCGGCAAAGGGTTAAATAAAAATAATTGTTTGATATATATATATATATATATATATATATGTATTTAAATATTCACAACAGGTTCTATTGTTTAATTAAAACATCTTAATATCTTACTTAAGAACTTTTAGATTAATTGCTGTTGATATATATATTTTGTAACGATTTATTTTGTGTTTCCAATGTTTTCTCAAGATAAGCAATATACTATTCGACTCATGCTTAAGTAATTCCTTAATATAATAAATAATCTACGCATCTTAAAATGTTTTTATTTTGGCAGAAAAATAACTAAAACCTTACGTCTTTCTTTAAAAGTTAATAGAAAATTATCGTATGTACTAAGGGTTAATGTATTATCATAGAGATCAGTCCAATTATATAATACCATATAAGTTTATTCTCCATAAAGTTTATTTTAATATTGGTATAATTCATACAAAAAATTGATTTGATAGTCATAATGTAATTGATCAAAATAATTTATACAGGCGTACATCGCTTGGAATAATGGGGAAAACTCACGTCGCATGGCGGTTGGTTATCATCGCTGATCCAAGCCGCTCCGTTTTTACCTTTCTGAATCAGATTTAACACTCCAAGTGCCACGTTATCACATGTCTGTTTCGGCATGTTCTCCATATAAGCGATCTCGTTAGTTACTATAGGGCGAATGGAGTCATGAATCCTACTGTTGATGTTTGTGACTAATGGTGTTGCTGTAAGGCCCGGACACATGATAATAACTCGCACTCCAGTCTTGTCGTACATACTTGCCAGAGATTGACTGAATCCCAGAACGGCACATTTCGAAGCGCTGTACATTGGAAGAAAGTAACCTGAAAAAAGAGTTTTTGTGAGAGCCGAGTTAGATATTTTACACTAATATAATATAATATAATATAATATATAATTTACTATAAC